CCCTTCCCTTTTACCCCAGACCCTTCCCTTAATTGCCCCAGCCCCTCCCGCTCCCGCTCCTGGCCCGGCCCCGCCCCCCGCCACGGCTCTTGGTCGTTTCCCGCCCTTTTCCAACTGTCACTCCCAGCCTCGTGCCCTGAGGTGCCAGGGTTGGGTAGGGGCCCCTCATTCCCACAGCTCATTAGCCCCCATCCCACTAATTAACACCCGCTGAGCCCAGGGAAGGGACTGAGCGGTCCTTAGTAGCCAACAATTAAGCCCTAATTTCATGCCCTGGAGTAATTAATACACTGATAAATCATGGCCCATGAATAACCAGCTTCCTCCGACAAATTACAGTACCAATGAGCATTAATACAAGAATGAGCAACTGGCCATGGAAAGGCAACAGCCATCCCTAGTTACTATTTAATGCATCAAGTGCCCATCAATAACCTATCACCTCCAGTTAATACAATTAATCTCTTGACTACATATATTATTAACAAACAAGCTATCAATAGCCAATCATTCCTAATAAGAACCATTAGCTTAACATCCTACCAATAACCCATGGATAAGTAAAATATACCTGAAAAAATGTCCCATCAATCCCTAACCCCTTCAATTAATAGTTTATGGATAATTAATATAATGGCTAACAGTGACCTAGCATATAGATACTTACCCATTAATGAATAATAGCACTTTCCTAGCCAGTCACCTATTTTTCAGAATATACTGAAACCATAGATAATCTAACAATAATAACCTATCAATACATGTTACTCTTCCATAACTAATATGATTTATATTCCATCCATGGTCGTACATTTGCAAATTAAATGTATGACCACGGACAGAATAACCTGTGGGGTTCAATTAATCTCTGATAACCTGTGAGGTTCAATTAACTGATGAATAATGTCAATTACATGTAATAAAAACCTAATTAATAATTGATAGTTATTACATTATTGAATACAAATGGTCCCCACCCCTCTCCAATCAGTTTTAATTCATACCAAATTAATCTCCCATCATTTCTATGCATTTGAGATAACGCTTGGTGTAATTACTATATGAATGGGTCAGAGATTTTGAATAACCTATGACTCCTAACGGATTACATGATTTATAAGCCAGAGGTGGCTGATGAATATATGAAAATAGTGGTCTACTAACGGCTAGTCACCTCCAATTACAAAATTGTATCAGTAAATTACCCAGAGTAAAATAAATAATAGGTCACTGTTTATCAAGACTCCACAGTTCTAATGTACTGATGCAGTTCAGAGCTGATGATGATCAATTGACCCTTCCTAATCGTTACAAACTCATAAAAAGTAACCTCATGAAAAAGCACGTTATTTAATAATTAGCCAATTAATCAGAGTTCATAGCTTCATAGTTTTGATGTTAGAGGCTGGAAGGGACCTTACAGATCATCAGGAATGGCCATAAATAAATAGCCTATGATTAAATGACCTACAAATATTAAATAGATAGTGAATCAATGCAGCACCACACCTGATAAATAAGCAAAAACAATAAACTAGTAGTGGAGTCTAATCAGTATATAACCCCTAAGCATTGCTAAATACATAATAGGTGAAGCATAATGACAAACTAATACAAATCAGTCAAAATTAATAAGTTACCAAAGCAACAAAATTAAATAGCAAAAATGAATTATCAACATAATTAATGGATAGCCATTGCTAACAATAATATTTAAAATAAAAATAGGAGTAACAGATTTTATTATCTAACCCTGGCTAATTCATATTCTAAAGTTAGAAGGCTACGCTGTGGACCTATAAATAAGCTAGCAAGTCATTGATAACATTTGCAGTCAATAGGCCACCATCAAGTAATGAACTGTAATGCATAAAAAAATAGCTAATATAAAACAGCAATGCTTATAATTAAATTAACACATAAGTAATATTTGATAATTGTATCCACTCATCTTCCACATACAGACATATCCTGTTCACCACCAAATACGTCTGAATATCCATCTAGCCACTTCCCTTCATCTCACCATCCATCTAGCTGAACATCCCTCCCTCCATCTCTAACAGTATCTGTGTCTCCTGGATTATCCATCTCTCACCCCTACCTGGGCCCTTGTGGCAGTAACTCCTCCTTTGTCCATCTCCTCACAGCATGGACTGGTTCCACTGCAACCAGTGCTTTCATCAAAATGGGGCAGACTTCTCCATCACCAGCTGTGGACACATTTTCTGCAGGAAGTGCACTGGCTGTGGTGAGCGTAAGATCATTTAGATACAGCTCCTAGCCTGAAGGCCTTGAGTAAGAGAGTAGGGCAGAGGTGGGCAAAATGTGGCCTGTGGGCCAGATGCAGCCCTCCAGGCCATTTTATCCAGCCCACGGGGCCCCTAAAAATGTAGAAAATTAATATTTATCTGCCCCTGGCTGCCTGCCGTGCGGCCCTCAATGGCTTGCCAAAACTCAGTAAGCAGCCCTCCGCCCAAAATAATTGCCCACCCCTGGAGTAGGGCATGGTGCTCCTCCATAGGACTCTAACAACACTTGGATCACTTGAAATATTTTCAAGGAAAAAAATCCTTTCAAAAACTAAATTATTTAGTCTAAAAAAAATCAGTTTTCAGTAAGTCTAAAGGACAAAGAAACTTCCCTGGGACTTTTTTCCCTTTGAAAATTAACCTTTCCCTAAAGAGTCTTCTAATGAATTTGGAGGAGAAATATTTTTTACAATTGCAATTTAGAAATGAGATGTAGAGGACAGAATCCCAATTTCTTTCAATGTTTTTCTTCTTTTACTATTTTCCCATTAGAAAAAGGAAGGACATTGGTAAAAAGAAAGCTAAAGTGAGGGGGAAGAATACCATTTTGCACATGCTAACTTTATCTTCTGAATAAAAAGTGACAGAAAATAGAGGAAATACACCTCTTTACATTTTTTTACTGTGCTTATTTATTTTAACTTTTCACACTGGGAGACTATGGTGGTGGGGAAGGTGGGGAGTCTGCAAAAGTGTACCTGTACATTTTTCTAGTGGAAAGCAGTGAAAATAGCTTTTAAAATGCTAAAATACAAGTTTTCTCCATGTTTTCCCCATATCCTCTGCAGTGTTTTTTATTGGAAACATGTAATGGAAGTGAGGGAAATCAGTATGTTAAACTATTTTTTTTCCAGGGAGGACAAAAAGCAAATGAGGGAGAGATATATTTTTTTCTCCATTGATTTTTATCTCTTTCAGCCTCTTTTTTTTTTTTTTTTTTTTTTTTTACAAAGCAAGGGAGAAGAGAAGTCTAACGGAGTGTGTTCCTACATACAGAAACTGCTTTAAATATCCCCATATAGTTAAATCCATATAACACCCTCTGATGGAGACATAATATTTATAGCAACATTATTACTAAAAAATTGTTTTAACTCTTCCAGATAAATGCCCCGTTTGCAGAACGACCTGTAAATACCTGTCCCTCTCCGATAATGTGAGTTTGTCTCCTTTTTTACCATCCTTCCTTCGTCCTTTCTTTTACACCTGTGCCAAACAGTACTAATTTGACCGGAGGCATGATGTTAACCCAATTTTATTCAGATAGGTCTGTCTGGATGCTCCACATTTGGTTAGCAGGAGGATCTTCATGGGAGCTGAATGTTTTGCTGTGAATAATGTTGCTTCGGGGAGTCCTGGAAGCACAATCAACTGTCCCGGATTTCCAAAATTCATTGTTGATATCGACTCAGGCCACAAGACGTTCCTTGGGAATGTCACCTATCCTAAGTGGAATCTGGGATACCAGCCTGTGCTGTCAGGGGATGCCAACAGATATCCCTTAATCCCCCATTAAAATTTCCCATCATGCTGCAAACAATAAAAGCAGTGCAAGAGGCTCTGAGAGATCTGCCCAAGAGCCTGTTTTTTAGAATGAGACGTCCATTCTTGATTTAAAGACTCCAAACCAAAACCTAAACACCCACAAATTGATGCTGGTTTCACCACCTCCTTCTGTTTTAAATGACTAGGCTTATATTGTCTTCTCTGAAAATCCCAGGCTCCAGGAGTCCTGTGATTCTGGAAGAATCTTTTACTGCTTAAAAACAAATAGATTTCCAGTCTTCCCAGCACCATTAAATCCAAAAATCAATCAATCAGATCACATGGCAAGCCCCCGAACAACCATAACATTAACTTACAAAGCATTAGAGAGAGAAAATAGATTGAGGTTTCATTTCCACATCTTTCATGCTTCTGAATCTTTAGGATTTCCATCTTCAAGCCCAACTTAGGAAGTACTCTACAACCCAAGCATTTTTTTTAATTTTAATATAAATAGAGGGTGGATTCTTCCAGAATCATGGGACTCCAGGAGCTAGCAATAAGAGAAAAAAAAATTAGTGAAAATTGTGAGGTCTGGGGTAAAATGGCCAGTGCTTTTTAAAACTGGTAATCTTATTAAACTAGTGGAAAAATTGAGCCCAGCCAAGTTTGTCTCATTGTTCATTCAGAGACAGCTCAGGGCTATATGCTCCCCTTTGAGGCAGCTGCCTGGCTATTTTGGGTGGAGGATAGGGGCATTATCCAGGATTGGTGTGGCCACCATTTTTCTCTCCCTGCATCTTTCCATCCATAGATGAAACCACAAGAAAAGATGTTTTTCAAGAAACCAGTGGAAGTTGCCCTCAAGCATTTTGCCCACATTTCCCAGGTAAAGCACCGTATACCCATTTCCCAGCGCCCCATGGGTGGGAAAAGCCCCATATGCCCATATTCCTGACCCCACAAAGCAACCCGTCTCCCCTCCATAGGACCACGTCAGAGCCAACTCCTCATTCAAGTGAAAAGGCCTATAACTACAGGCTGTTTAGCTTGGATTAAATAATAGTGAAGCTGATATGAGATTCAATTAGTAAGAATTAGAAGGTTAGGACTATGATTCATGCTAGTCAACCACAGTTTTAGGTCTTGCCAAACACACCTAATTCCATTCTTTGGAGATTACAAGTTTGCACGATAACAGCTGCATCTGCACAACACTCTGGCTTTCATAAGGTGTTTGATTTAGCACCACATGATGTTCTGATTAGGAACCTGGCACCCTGCAGATGTCAGCAAAATCACTCTTAAATGGGTTAACAGGCTGATGGATGGAGCTCCACAATGGTTCTCAAGGGAGACTGGTCCTCAAATGGGGACGTTTCCTGAAGAATTAACATAGATTGCTCCTAGATCTGCCACTGCTTAACGTTTTTCACAATGACCCAGACCCAAATATGAAATTGCTGCTGATAAAGTTTGCAGCTGACGCAAAGGCTGGCAAATGGGTAAATAGCAGTGAGGTCAAGGCAGTCACTCAGGACTGGTAGGTCAGCTGCACCTACTCAGACTCTTGCTTTGGAGTCAGAACTGAGGGAATAACAGGTTTCTTATTTTAGTGGCCCAATCAGTGGGAGAAAAAAAAACTAGGTTTGGCTCAAAATAAAACTGAAATATTGGGGTTTTCCATAAATACCTATCCCCCCTCAAATTCTTGTAAATCTGGAAGTGGATCTTTTCTTAAGAAATCCCACCCCCTGCACTGTGTCAAAATCTAAACCTCTGCTTCAAAAACACCCCAGCTTAAACATGAAGACATTGTCTTTTGAAACAGTCCTTATATTGCCACTTTCAAAAATCCCCCCCCACCTTTGGGGGGGGGGCGGGGGGAGGCTGAAGTTATTTGCCAAATTCAGCCCAAATTTCCCTTCCAGAACTCAATTTTTTTGGAGGGGGAGAATTTATCATTCATCAGAAAACTCAAAACAAAATAAAATAAAAATCATGGCTTGAATATGGTCGGGTAGGTACAAAGAAGGAAGGCAGGCTGAGAATAGAGGTCTCTATTTGGAAAAGCAGCAACTTCAGGAGAAATCTCAGGGCCTCTCCATGTTGGCTGCTTAATACCTCCAGTGAGACCAATGCCACAAGCCTGGGTTCCACGTCCCCATTTCCCAAAGGATGTTAGAGAACTGTGGGGGAGAGATGCCCAAATGATTCAAGACCAGTACAAGATATCCACCAGCAAGAGTGGAAGCTTTATGGAGAGACAACTCTAATGCTTCAGGTAGCGGAGAGAGATCAACAAGGAACCAGAAGCCCAACCCTGACAGGAAATAAAGCCACCCCCAAGGTTGTGGGAGCCTTCAGCTCCCAATGCCTTTGTATCTGAACCAGACACCTCTCTGGACATTAGCCAAAACTTTGGAGCAGCAGAGGGGGAAATGGACCTGCAATATAGAAGAGGTCAAGTGCTGTTTCTATGTCCTAACTGGCTTTAAGATCAATGAATTTCCATCTCCATCCCACTCCCTGAGATGTGGCTGCTAGGCTGGATCCCCCTGGAGAGGAAAGGGTTAGGGCTAGGGCTAGGGTTAACTCGTATCCCCACCTCTCGAGCCAGCCGGTGTCCCCACCCTGGGGCTGGCACTGCTGGGATAAAATCTAACTCCCATGTTGCCCCCGCAACAGGGCAACTGGTAGCAAGGAGTTGCCCAAGGTCAAGGAGGAAGTCTCCATTAATAACCAAGTGGGAGTGGGGAGGGTAGTTAATAATCACAGCATATGGCTCAGCAGGAGCCCCTTCTCCACCCCTCCTCACCAGGGCTAATTAATAGCATGGAGGAAGCCAGATAAGAGGGAAGAGATAAGGGGGACTAGTTAATAATCTCAGGGAATTTCAGCCCAGTCAG